CCTGTCTTGCCCGTCGTGTCGCCCCCGGGGAGCAGCGCGCCCCCCCGGTCGACCCTCGCGTCGCCCCCGCTGGACCCGCACGACGCCCCAGGGAGCCGCGCGCCCCCCCCCCCCCCGTCGACCCTCGCGTCGCCCCAGCTGGACCCGCGCGATGCCCCGGGGAGCCGCGTGCGCCCCCCCCGTCGACCCTCGCGTCGCCCCCGCTGGACCCTCGCGACGCCCTGAGGGAGCCGCGTCGGCCCGCACACTGCCCCCGTCGACCAGCGCGTCGCCCCAGGGGACCCGCGCGCGCTGCCCCGTGGAGCAGCGCGCCGTCCCTTGCCCTCGTGCTGCTGCAGGGCGGCTTCCTCCCCCCCCCCCCCCCCTCCCGCGTCGTCTCTCTGCTGTGTGTGCAGCCGTGGGGGAGGGTATGGGGGTGGCGGGTGTGCGTCGTCCCTTGCTCCTCCTCCTCCTCTCTCTCCCACTACTGCAGTTGCTGCTGAGGGGGGTGGGTGTGTGGGAGCCGAGGGAGTTGTGCTAGGGGGGTGACGTGGGAGTGAAGCTAGGGGTGCAGCAGGGGGTGTGAACGGGAGTTTTGGGACAGTTAGGGGGAGGTTGGGTGGAGGCAGCCGTCGTCAGCAGCGCCAGTAGTCCGGAGGCTACAATCTCCGGTAGCCCAGCGAGCCTGCTGCGCCAGTCGCCCGTGGGTCCATTGCTCCTGCCGCTCAGAGTTAGCCGCGGAGCCAGTTACTCCATTAGTCCGGAGGCTACAATCTCCGGTAGCCACAGTGCGCGCCGCTCCTGTTGCCCGTGTATCTGCAGCTTCACACGTCGTCTCCTATCTCCACTCCTCTCACAGTCCCTCCTCCTCCTCACTAACCGTCTGTGACTGCCTCTAGCTTTGCTTATATTTATGAACTATTGTTCTGCTTGCTTATTGTGCTGATTACACCCCACTTTGGCTATGGGGGTGTGTCAGAATGTTATATTTGTCTAGCCTGCAGTGGGGTACTCAATAGCGAGTACAGCCCAATTTAGGGTTTGCTATATGTACTCAACTGCCTGCTAGTGAAACCCCTCTTCTCTGTTTCATTCCTTCCTTTGATTCTGACACGCTGCCACCGCCGCCGCCACCAAATCCCCCACTCTCGCCACCACTCCCACCGCTGCCATCACCTCCACTACCTCCACCACCTCCACTGCCACCCCCACTACCACCCCCGCTGCCACCTCCACCACTCCTGCCACCCTTGCCCTTGCTGCTGCGGCGCTTCCCACTAGCAGAAGCTGCCCTGACATCCTAAGCACCAAGGACGTTAACAGCAGCAGCAGAGGCATAGGAGGGGGCAAGGGGGGAGGGGGAACACCCCTTAAAGAAGGGCGTGAGAGGAGTACCACGAGCGGCACCTACAGCGACTACACTAGTCTCAGCTGCTAAGAGGTGCTGCTCGAGCAGGTCAACAGTGAGGTCTGTGGGGTCAAGTGCGAGAAAGTGGTCTCTCATTGCGCAAAGAGAGTCAGGGAGGCGGGTGACTATGAAGTAGTGAGTGATGAACATCGGGGGGGGGGTTCCTGTCAAGGAACTATTCTGGGAGGGCAGCGCGGTGGCGAGCGGCGCTAGTGCGAAGGTGGGTAACGAGGTCCTCTACTGTGGCAAAGGCGGACAGCTTGGGAAACAGGTAGGGCAGTAGAAGAGGGCCTAGAGCAGCAGTGGCCGGGGAGGAGTAACAAGCGACTACAGTGTCGTACAGTGCTTTAGCTGTCTTGTGCTGTCCGAAGTGAGCGCATTCGGCTAAAGGCAGGTGGTTGTGAATGGCTAAGCGAGCAGCAGCGTCATGGGTAAGCCACTGTGAGCGAGTCGCACTGTCAGCTGTGGCGGGAGGGGCGAGAGAGGCTCCAGACGTATGGTCAAACAACGAAACGGTGTCTCTAGAGTCGCTGAGTAGGTACAGCTGTAAGTCGTCGAGCCACGTGTCGAACTGGATCGGACGGCCCTCATGATCGAACGTGAGGACACGGAGAGAAGCCATAGCGGGCAGAGTAGGGTGGCGCGCTACCAGCAGAGCAGCACGCAAGCAGAGCAGAGCGGCGCACGGCTGGGGTGGCCAGCAGCAGGGCGGGCAGGAGCTGGGCGTTGCAAGCAGCCGGGGGGGTCGTCAAACGGGCCGCAAGGGGTGGTGAGCGGGCTGCAGGTGGCGGCGCGCAGGCTGCAAGAGTGGCGGCTCGGGGGCTGCAAGGGGCGGCAGGTGGGCCGCAGGGGGGCGGCGAGCGAGCTGCAGGGGCGGCGAGCTGGCCGCAGGTAGGCGGCGAGCGGGCTGCAGGGGCGGCGGGCGGGCCGCAAGCGGGGGGCGCGCGGGCTGCAGGGGCGGCGGGCGGGCCGCAAGCGGGGGCCGCGCGGGCGGGCCGCAAGCGGGGGGCGCGCGGGCTGCAGGGGCGGCGGGCGGGCCGCAAGCGGGGGGCGCGCGGGCTGCAGGGGCGGCGGGCGGGCCGCAAGCGGGCGGCGCGCTTGCTGCAGGGGCGGCGAGCGGGCCGCACGCAAGCGGAGAGCAGGCGGCAGGGGCGGTGCGCGGGGCTGCAAGGGCGGCGCGCGGGGCTGCAGAGGTAGTGCGCGGAGCTGCAGGGGCGGCGCGCGGGGCTGCAGGGGCGGCGCGCGGGCTGCAGGGGCTGCGCGCGGGGCTGCAAGGGCAGCGCACGGACTGTAGGGGCGGCTCGCGGGCTGCAGGGGCTGCGCGCGGGGTTGCGCGCGGGGCTGCAAGGGCAGCGCGCGGACTGTAGGGGCGGCTTGCGGGCTGCTAAGGGCGGCGCGCTGTGTTGTAGGGCGGCGCTCTGTTAGGGCAGGGCAGTGAGTGGGGCAGCTCTGTAGTGGGCCCTAAAATAACGGTCCTAGGGAAGGACCTTCTCTAAAACCATGTCAGAAGAATGAACGAGAATGCATTGAACAGAAGTTGGGTACAAGTACTAACCTGAATTGGGTTGTACCCTTTATGGGCTACCCCATTATAGCCTACACCAAGTAAGCAATATAACATTTTGACAGTTACTCGCTCGCGACACTCGCCTCGACAACTGTTCCCGCCACTGTACACCCCGCGACCCAACCTCACGGTTCGGATGGTAACCCGCGCTCCGGCCCTCCGCCTCGACAATTCCCAACCTCGACGATAGGTCTGTCGCGCACCACATTCTCGCGCATTACCATTACCACGTTAGGCCTTCGCTATATATTTTACCCTCATTCATTTGCTCATTGTACTTTAGATTCGATAGTGCAATCTTCGTTTCGCTCACTCAATTGCACTCGTAACAATAATCCTAGTCAGACAAGTCTCGCCTACCTAGAGGTCCTCGCCTAGCTAGGAAACCCCCTATATTTGCCGTCACTTTCATTGTATCTAGAGTCTACGCTATAATCACGTTCTCATTATTAATTCATTGATTTTGCGAGAGTCAAAGAAAATTCGGCCAAACCCCAATTTCACACTTGCACGGGGATTTTACACACCCTTAGGGCGTGTCCAGCGCGTACATTTACAGTTCATAAACCCATTCAGTTACCACATTTCCTATTGTAACACTGCATTTTACAAAAAGGTTGGACACGATCAGCTTCCGTTCACAAGACGGCACGCCCGCTGCGCGTACGACGAATCGTCTAACACACGTTACTGGAATCAGTGTGCGCGCGAACAAGGGTACAGCATTGCGTCCTGCCCGCTACAGTAATTTTCGTTGAAGCGTGGAATTTTCGCTTGTGCGTGAATTTCTGTGCGATGATAGACGAGGCAACCAGTTACCTCGTTTTCCACGAACTGTAGAAATTTGTGTGCAGAGGGTTGTGTCCGCGCGCTGGAAGGCCCAAGCCTTCGGACTCGACTCACCTTATATTCGTTTTTTGGTACAGTGAGATTTTTTGAGCCGGGAAACGTGTGAAGGTACTAATATTCCCAAAATGTACGCGCTGGACACGCCCTTAGTTCAACTCATAAGACCACTAGTTCACTGATGAGATGAGAGCCCAACTTCCCTCAACGGACATCAATGCTAGACCAGACTGACCCAAGGTAAGACCTAGTCAGCTGAGAACATAGTCGCTAAGACAGACTAGTGTCTTGCCCACGTACGACCATTTACACTTTCTCGACCCTCCCACCCATATCGTTAGCTAAAACCTAAGCCAGTGTGGTAGTAGATTCTGTCGGGCGGTTATTGAGCATCCTGTGCGCGCGAGGTGGACAGGTTGTAGTAGCGGAAAGTGCGTAAAGGGTAAGGCGAGAAAGCAGCGAGGAGCCGCGAGGCACGGACGGGGGTGATTCGCGATTTCGCGCGAGAGGCGGTTGGGCGTGAGCCGCATTCGACGGCCTGGACTGGGGCTGCAGCGATTACGCGAGAGGTGCGGGCTCGAAAGAGCAGCGATAACGAAGAGGTACGTGGGGGATGCGAGCGAGAAAGTGCGAGAGGGTACGCAGTGATATGCGAGGGGGATGGGCGCGAGAAGGCGCGGGGGAAACACCAGCGAGAAGGCGCGGGGGAAACACCAGCGAGAAGGCCGGCGGCGCGGAATGAGCAGCGAGCATGCAGGGCGGAAATTGCAGATGGGGCACGGGGCAATACGCAGCGATACGGACAGGCGGGATTTGCAGCGAGGAGGGTTATGGGAATACGCAGAGAGACGGCGGGGGGGAGAGGGGGGGAATAAGCAGCGAGACGGGGGGGAGGGAGGGGGAATAAGCAGCGAGAGGGGGGCAGAGTGATTAGGAGGGAGGGGAGGGAGGGGGGAGGGTTTCGCAGCGAGACGGGGGGGGGGGGGGGGGGGGAAGGAATAAGCAGCGATTTGGCGAGAGGGGGGGATGCATCCTCCAGTGTTGTGTCTCTCTCCCCCACCACCTCGCAACTCCGGGGCCCCCGCACGGTGCCACTTCCAAGTCATCTCTCCCGCGCCCTCCCTTCCCCCCTTGAACACATCTGTGCTCTTCCTCGGAAAGCACATTCTCCTCCCCCCTCCTAAAAAAGAACCCTTTCAAATGTCTCCCTTGCAGCTCTGTGTACTTCCTTCTCTGCCTCACTCCCTTCTTCCCCCTCCCCACTATTTTCCTCCCCTCTCCCTTCCATCTCTCCCCTCTCTCCCTAACTCTCATCTCTTCCCTTTTTACTCTATGCCTTACTCCTTTCTCTACCTTTTCTCCTCTCTGCATTACTCCGAACTGTACGCTGTCCCCTCTCTGCCTTGCTCCTCTCTCTACCTGTTTCTCATGGTGCCTTTCTCCATTATCTACCCTTTCCCCTCTGCCTTACTCCCCTCTCCACCCTTTTCCCTCTCTGCCTTACTCCCCTCTCCACCCTTTTCCCTCTCTGCCTTACTCGCTTCTCTACCCTTTCCCCTCTCTCCATTACTCCTATCTCTACCCTTTCCGTGCATCTGCCTTACTCGCTTCTCTACCCTTTCCCCTCTCTCCATTACTCCTATCTCTACCGTTTCCGTGCATCTGCCTTACTCGCTTCTCTACCCTTTCCCCTCTCTCCATTACTCCTATCTCTACCCTTTCCGTGCATCTGCCTTACTCGCTTCTCTACCCTTTCCCCTCTCTCCATTACTCCTATCTCTACCCTTTCCGTGCATCTGCCTTACTCGCTTCTCTACCCTTTCCCCTCTCTCCATTACTCCTATCTCTACCCTTTCCGTGCATCTGCCTTACTCGCTTCTCTACCCTTTCCCCTCTCTCCATTACTCGTATCTCTACCCTTTCCGTGCATCTGCCTTACTCGCTTCTCTACCCTTTCTGTGTCTCTGCCTCACTCACGCTCCCGTCTTTTCCGCTTTCCCATATGACGCCCTCTCCCGTGAGCAGAGCAGCATGGGGGGTCAATGAGGAGCGCCAATCATGCACCACGCGCACCACCCGTGGGTCGCCATCTCCGCTAAGCGCCCGGGCCTCTGGCGCCCCGCCGACGCCGCCATGCCGCCGGCCAAGGCGGCCAGCCCCGGCGCCCGGCCGCTGTCAGTGTCGCGTGCGCGGTGGCGGTGGGCGGGCGAGCGGTGGGCGTGCGGCGCCATGGCGGCGGCGCAGATGGCCGTCGCTCTGCTGCTGCTCGCCGTCGCCGCCACCTCGCTGCTCCTCCTCGGCTGCATCCGCCTCCCCAACCGCCAGGTCCCCCGCGCTTTCCCCTCTCCCCTCCCTTCCCTGTTTCCCCCGTCCCTCCCAGTTAGCATTCCGCAAGTTGGTCCTCTCTCCCCTCCTCATTGGTTAGCCTCCTCCTGCCTCCTGGAAGGCCCCCCCTCCCCTCCCCTCCCCTCCCCGCCCCCTCTGCGCTGCCCTTACCCCACCGGCCCCGCCTTCTCCTTGCCACCCATCTCCCGCATTTCCCCTCAATTTCTTGCTTCTCACGTTCCGCCTCCGCATTCACAAGCTGCACTCTGCCGCTCCCAACCGTACCCGACGGCAGGCGGGGTGGAGCGTGGAGCTGCCGCATGAGCCGCACGACCCCAGCGCCAACTGCTCCTCCGCCAACCCCACCGTCGTTGTCAAGGCAAGCCCCCGCTCCCATCTGCCTCGTGCCCCATCTGCCTCGTGCCCCATCTGCCTCGCGCCCTCCCCACTCGCATTCTCCCCCACAATCTCCTCTCTCTTGTTCTCTTGGTTCCCCCGTGTACCACCTTAGTACCTTACCCCCCTCCACTCCCACCCCCTTCCTCCCAAACTAGTCTATGGTACTCAGACCGTCAATTCCACCTGCCCTCTTGCCCCCTTGCCCTCTTGCTCCCCCCATTTCTCCACCAGACGCCTCCCCCTCTCGCCCCACCTTTCCTCCCCTCTCCTTTTTTCTCCCAACTTTTTCTTTCTCGCCACTTCCCCCGTTCAGACGAGCCAATGCTTTTCAAACTGCCAGTTCCACCTGCCACCAGTGTTCTGTCTCTGCTCTGCACCATGGACGCTTCAACGGTCAACCTCTCCCCCCACAGTTACCCCCTCACTCCTCCCCCCCTTTCCCATTCAGACGAACCTATGGTACTCGGAACGTCCATTTCATCTGCCCCTGGTCTTCCCCTGTGCACTGTAGACGCCTGCTTCAACTTCTTCCCACTCACGTATCTTCTCCCCCCTCCTCCTGCAGACCAACCTATGGTACTCGGACCGGCCGTTCCACGTGCCCCCCGTGTTCCCCCTGTGCACCATGGACGCCTGCTTCAACTTCTCGCGCTGCCCCTCCCCGCCCGCCCGCGAGCCCCTCGTGTACTCCTACTGGCCCGGGCCCAAGTACTTTGCCCGATTCAACACCACCAGGTGCTCATGCGATGCCGCCACGCCACATGCTCATTAGATCTTGTATTAGATCTTGTTATGTGCTTTTTGGATCCTTCTAGTCACTGTTTCTTTCCATCATCCCACTCTCATATCCTTACTCCCATCTTCCTTCTTTACTATCCTCACCATCACCACCACCATCCCACACCCCCTCTCACCTCCACACCTGGTGGGGCATGGGCGGGCGGCAGGTGGCACACGGACGACCCCAGCAAGGCGTGCTTCTTCTTCGTCTTCATGTCCGCAGGGCACCCCCGCCACTTCAAAGACCTGCCCTTCTGGGGGGACGACGGCCACAACCATGTGCTTATCAGGTCAGGTGACATGTGCTCATCAGCTGGCATGTAGAAAGAGTCAGTATATATATATAAATATATATAAATATATGTATATATATATAAATATATGTATATATATATAAATATATATAAATATATGTATATATATATATATATATATATTTTTTTTTTCTAATTGAAGGTGAGTCAAGTAATCTTCACGTGCTTGCCAAACACGACACCAAGTGCAGAGGAGGAGCATCTCCATTCACTCTGCCTGCCCCTGTCTCACCATGCTTCCATTCACCCCAACACCACCCTGTACGCCTCATGCCCACCCACCTCCCCCCTTAAAACGCTTCCCCCCATGCTGTCCTTCCCCCCATGCTGTCCTTCCCCCCATGCTGTCCTTCCCCCCATGCTGTCCTTCCCCCCATGCTGTCCTTCCCCCCATGCTGTCCTTCCCCCCATGCTGTCCTTCCCCCATGCTGTCCTTCCCCCCATGCTGTCCTTCCCCCCATGCTGTCCTTCCCCCCATGCTGTCCTTCCCCCCATGCTGTCCTTCCCCCCATGCTGTCCTTCCCCCCATGCTGTCCTTCCCCCCATGCTGTCCTTCCCCCCATGCTGTCCTTCCCCCCATGCTGTCCTTCCCCCCATGCTGTCCTTCCCCCCATGCTGTCCTTCCCCCCATGCTGTCCTTCCCCCATGCTGTCCTTCCCCCCATGCTGTCCTTCCCCCCATGCTGTCCTTCCCCCCATGCTGTCCTTCCCCCCATGCTGTCCTTCCCCCCATGCTGTCCTTCCCCCCATGCTGTCCTTCCCCCCATGCTGTCCTTCCCCCCATGCTGTCCTTCCCCCCATGCTGTCCTTCCCCCCATGCTGTCCTTCCCCCCATGCTGTCCTTCCCCCCTGCACGGCAAGCCAGCTTTGCAGACAACTGGAGTGGGCCACCGGCGTGGAGTGTGGGCAAGGCGGCGCTCATGCTCACAGCCGCGCACCTCACCGTGCACCGCGCAGCCTTTGACGTCTCCCTCCCGCTGCCGCCCACTTGGAAGCGCCACGCGGCCGGGCTGCGGTCGCTGCCGGTGGCTCAGAGGCGGTACCTGCTGACGTTCATGGGCACGCGCTACCTGGGCTCCATGCATGGCAACTTCCGCAGCTCGGCGGCGTTCAAGGCGCTGCACAACGGCAACGACATCATCGTTGTCACCCAGTGCGGGTCAGTGCTCGCATGCGCAGTGCTCTCATGCCGCACTCAATGGCAGTGCGATCCACTTCACTCTCATGCCGCACTCAATGGCAGTGAGGTCCACTCCACTCTCATGCCGCACTCAATGGCAGTGCGGTCCACTCCACTCTCATGCCGCACTCAATGGCAGTGCGGTCCACTCCACTCTCATGCCGCACTCAATGGCAGTGCGGTCCACTCCACTCTCATGAGCACTCGCATGGATTGGCAGTGCGGTCCACTCCACTCTCATGCCGCACTCAATGGCAGTGCGATCCACTCCACTCTCATGCCGCACTCAATGGCAGTGCGGTCCACTCCACTCTCATGCCGCACTCAATGGCAGTGCGGTCCACTCCACTCTCATGCCGCACTCAATGGCAGTGCGGTCCACTCCACTCTCATGCCGCACTCAATGGCAGTGCGATCCACTCCACTCTCATGCCGCACTCAATGGCAGTGCGGTCCACTCCACTCTCATGCCGCACTCAATGGCAGTGCGGTCCACTCCACTCTCATGCCGCACTCAATGGCAGTGCGGTCCACTCCACTCTCATGCGGCACTCAATGGCAGTGCGGTCCACTCCACTCTCATGCCGCACTCAATGCCGGTGCTCGCCCCGCTTCAAGGGGCTGCATAGTGGCAGGGACAGCCAGCATCGTTGGTTGGCACCCAGTGAGGGTGAGTGCAGCATGGTGAGTCAATGGATGGGCGCTGTGGTTCACTCACACACAACAGCTCATCATACACTTGCAGACAACAGCGCATCACACTCATCCAGGCAACAACACACACATGGTCTCACTCACCTCGTGCCCGCCGCCAGCCACAGCTATCCCGCTCCACTTCACCCCACATGCTTCTGCGCTCTCGACTCGTTCAAAACTCCTCCCTCCCCTCTCCCCGCACACTCCAGCAGAGGGTCGACGTACCGGCGGGGCGGGTAATCGAGGAGGACCCGTGGATGCTGCCACCCAAGTGTTTTTTGAGTGGCATAAAAAACGCCTCAAACGTCTACTCCTTCACTCACTGCCCACCCGTCATTGAATCAGAGGGTCGACGAACCGGAGGATAATCGAGGAGGACCCGTCGCTGCTGCCCGAGTGCACGGCGGACGCGGCGCTGTTCCGCACCTTCTCCTACCCCGCCCTCATGAACTCCTCCTTCGCCCTCGTCCCTGCCGGCCGCCAGGCCTCCACCTACCGCTTCATTGAGGTCCGTGCCTTGCAGGGGGAGAGGGGCCCAAGGGCGTGGGTGGGTGTGTGGATGCGGGCATGAGCAATATGCGAAGTCGAACAGGTTTGATTTTGAGGCGTGTCAAAAGTGGCGTTCATCGAGGTGCGTGGAGGAGGGGTGGGAGGGGATGGGTTGGTGGGTGGGCGGTGGGTGGGGAGGGCAGGTGGGTGGGGAGGGCAGGTGGGTGGGCGGTTCCCACTCAGAGGCCTTCATGGAGGGTGGGTCCGACAGCCCCCGTGAAGCCTGCTTCGTTGCTCGCATGGGCACTTGTGTGTTCCGTGAAGCAGTGATGAGATGAGGTGGGGGGGATTCTCTCGAGGGTGGGCCTCACGAGAGAAGGCAGCGCAAGCAGCAGTCAATTCACCGGACCTCCCATCCACCGGACCTCCCATCCACCGGACCTCCCATCCACCTGACCTCCCATCCACCGGACCTCCCATCCACCGGACCTCCCATCCACCGGACCTCCCATCCACCTGACCTCCCATCCACCGGACCTCCCATCCACCGGACCTCCCATCCACCTGACCTCCCATCCACTGGACCTCCCATCCACCAGACCTCCCATCCACCGGACCTCCCATCCACCGGACCTCCCATCCACCTGACCTCCCATCCACCTGACCTCCCATCCACCTGACCTCCCATCCACCGGACCTCCCATCCACCGGACCTCCCATCCACCAGACCTCCCATCCACCTGACCTCCCATCCACCGGACCTCCCATCCACCGGACCTCCCATCCACCGGACCTCCCATCCACCTGACCTCCCATCCACCGGACCTCCCATCCACCTGACCTCCCATCCACCGGACCTCCCATCCACCTGACCTCCCATCCACCTGACCTCCCATCCACTGGACCTCCCATCCACCGGACCTCCCATGCACCGGACCTCCCATCCACCGGACCTCCCAACCACCTGACCTCCCATCCACCTGACCTCCCATCCACCGGACCTCCCATCCACCTGACCTCCCGTCCACCTGACCTCCCGTCCACCGGACCTCCCATCCACCTGACCTCCCATCCACCGGACCTCCCATCCACCAGACCTCCCATCCACCTGACCTCCCATCCACCTGACCTCCCATCCACCGGACCTCCCAACCACCGGACCTCCCATCCACCGGACCTCCCAACAACCTGACCTCCCATCCACCTGACCTCCCATCCACCGGACCTCCCATCCACCTGACCTCCCATCCACCTGACCTCCCATCCACCGGACCTCCCAACCACCGGACCTCCCATCCACCGGACCTCCCAACAACCTGACCTCCCATCCACCTGACCTCCCATCCACCGGACCTCCCATCCACCTGACCTCCCATCCACCGGACCTCCCATCCACCGGACCTCCCATCCACCTGACCTCCCATCCACTGGACCTCCCATCCACCAGACCTCCCATCCACCTGACCTCCCATCCACCTGACCTCCCATCCACCTGACCTCCCATCCACCGGACCTCCCATCCACCTGACCTCCCATCCACCTGACCTCCCATCCACCTGACCTCCCATCCACCGGACCTCCCATCCACCTGACCTCCCATCCACCTGACCTCCCATCCACCTGACCTCCCATCCACCGGACCTCCCATCCACCGGACCTCCCGTCCACCTGACCTCCCATCCACCGGACCTCCCATCCACCTGACCTCCCATCCACCTGACCTCCCATCCACCTGACCTCCCATCCACCGGACCTCCCATCCACCGGACCTCCCATCCACCGGACCTCCCATCCACCTGACCTCCCATCCACCTGACCTCCCATCCACCTGACCTCCCATCCACCGGACCTCCCATCCACCGGACCTCCCATCCACCGGACCTCCCATCCACCTGACCTCCCATCCACCTGACCTCCCATCCACCGGACCTCCCATCCACCTGACCTCCCATCCACCGGACCTCCCATCCACCTGACCTCCCATCCACCGGACCTCCCATCCACCGGACCTCCCGTCCACCTGACCTCCCATCCACCGGACCTCCCATCCACCTGACCTCCCATCCACCTGACCTCCCATCCACCTGACCTCCCATCCACCGGACCTCCCATCCACCGGACCTCCCATCCACCGGACCTCCCATCCACCTGACCTCCCATCCACCTGACCTCCCATCCACCTGACCTCCCATCCACCGGACCTCCCATCCACCGGACCTCCCATCCACCTGACCTCCCATCCACCTGACCTCCCATCCACCTGACCACCGGACCTCCCATCCACCTGACCTCCCATCCACCTGACCTCCCATCCACCTGACCTCCCATCCACCTGACCTCCCATCCACCTGACCTCCCATCCACCTGACCTCCCATCCACCTGACCTCCCATCCACCTGACCTCCCATCCACCCGACCTCCCATCCACCCGACCTCCCATCCACCTGACCTCCCATCCACCGGACCTCCCATCCACCGGACCTCCCATCCACCTGACCTCCCATCCACCTGACCTCCCATCCACCTGACCTCCCATCCACCTGACCTCCCATCCACCCGACCTCCCATCCACCCGACCTCCCATCCACCTGACCTCCCATCCACCTGACCTCCCATCCACCGGACCTCCCATCCACCGGACCTTCCATCCACCGGACCTCCCATCCACCGGACCTCCCATCCACCTGACCTCCCATCCACCTGACCTCCCATCCACCTGACCTCCCATCCACCTGACCTCCCATCCACCTGACCTCCCATCCACCCGACCTCCCATCCACCCGACCTCCCATCCACCTGACCTCCCATCCACCTGACCTCCCATCCACCGGACCTCCCATCCACCAGACCTCCCATCCACCGGACCTCCCATCCACCGGACCTCCCATCCACCTGACCTCCCATCCACCTGACCTCCCATCCACCTGACCTCCCATCCACCGGACCTCCCATCCACCAGACCTCCCATCCACCGGACCTCCCATCCACCGGACCTCCCATCCACCTGACCTCCCATCCACCTGACCTCCCATCCACCTGACCTCCCATCCACCGGACCTCCCATCCACCTGACCTCCCATCCACCTGACCTCCCATCCACCTGACCTCCCATCCACCTGACCTCCCATCCACCCGACCTCCCATCCACCCGACCTCCCATCCACCTGACCTCCCATCCACCTGACCTCCCATCCACCGGACCTCCCATCCACCTGACCTCCCATCCACCGGACCTCCCATCCACCGGACCTCCCGTCCACCTGACCTCCCATCCACCGGACCTCCCATCCACCTGACCTCCCATCCACCTGACCTCCCATCCACCTGACCTCCCATCCACCGGACCTCCCATCCACCGGACCTCCCATCCACCGGACCTCCCATCCACCTGACCTCCCATCCACCTGACCTCCCATCCACCTGACCTCCCATCCACCGGACCTCCCATCCACCGGACCTCCCATCCACCTGACCTCCCATCCACCTGACCTCCCATCCACCTGACCACCGGACCTCCCATCCACCTGACCTCCCATCCACCTGACCTCCCATCCACCTGACCTCCCATCCACCTGACCTCCCATCCACCTGACCTCCCATCCACCTGACCTCCCATCCACCTGACCTCCCATCCACCTGACCTCCCATCCACCCGACCTCCCATCCACCCGACCTCCCATCCACCTGACCTCCCATCCACCGGACCTCCCATCCACCGGACCTCCCATCCACCTGACCTCCCATCCACCTGACCTCCCATCCACCTGACCTCCCATCCACCTGACCTCCCATCCACCCGACCTCCCATCCACCCGACCTCCCATCCACCTGACCTCCCATCCACCTGACCTCCCATCCACCGGACCTCCCATCCACCGGACCTTCCATCCACCGGACCTCCCATCCACCGGACCTCCCATCCACCTGACCTCCCATCCACCTGACCTCCCATCCACCTGACCTCCCATCCACCTGACCTCCCATCCACCTGACCTCCCATCCACCTGACCTCCCATCCACCCGACCTCCCATCCACCCGACCTCCCATCCACCTGACCTCCCATCCACCTGACCTCCCATCCACCGGACCTCCCATCCACCAGACCTCCCATCCACCGGACCTCCCATCCACCGGACCTCCCATCCACCTGACCTCCCATCCACCTGACCTCCCATCCACCTGACCTCCCATCCACCTGACCTGCCATCCACCTGACCTGCCATCCCACCTGACCTGCTTTCTCGCCTGACCTGCTTCCTCACCTGACCTGCTTTCTCACCTGACCTGCCATCCCACCTCTGCCATCCTTGTGCTTCACTTCATACACGCACCGTCAATCCGCCTCTGCTTGTCCTCTCAGCATCCCTCCCTACACCCCCCGTGCCCTCGTCTGCCTCTCCCCTCTCCCTTCCCCCCAACTACTCCCCCTCCCCACTCCCCCGGCCCCTCCCCCACGAACCAGGCGCTGACAGCTGGCGCGATACCAGTGGTGGTGGCGGACAACTGGAAGCTGCCGTTTGACGACATCATCCAGTGGCACCGCTGCCTACTGCTCTTCCCCACCCACCTGCTCTCCCGCATCCCCCCCACCCTGCGCACCATCACCCCGGTACCTACCCCCCCTGCCCTGCAACACCCCACCCTGCCTTGCCTCCCCCGGTACCCCCCACTCCACTACCCCCCCACTCCACTACCCCTCCACTCCACTACCCCCCCACTCCACTATCCCCCCACTCCACTACCCCTCCACTCCACTACCCCCCCACTCCACTATCCCCCCACTCCATTACCCCCCCACTCCACTACCCCCCCCACTCCACTACCCCCCCACTCCACTACGCCCCCACTCCACTACCCCCCCACTCCACTACCCCTCCACTCCGCTACCCCCCCACTCCACTACTCCCCCACTCCACTACCCCCCCACTACATTACCCGCCCACTGCACTACCCCCCACTCCACTGCCACCCCACTCCACTATCCCCCCACTCCGTTAGTCCCCCAGTCCACTACCCGCCCACTTTACTACCCCCCACTCCACTACCCCCCCACTCCACTACCCCCCCACTCCACTACCCCCCAACTCCACTACCCCCCCACTCCACTACCTCCCCACTCCACTACCCCCCCACTCCACTACCCCCCCACTCCACTACCCCCCAACTCCACTACCCCCCCACTCCACTACCCCCCCACTCCACTACCCCCCACTCCACTACCCCTCCACTCCACTACCCCCCAACTCCACTCCCCCCCCACTCCACTACCCCCCCACTCCACTACCCCCCCACTCCACTACCCCCCCACTCCACTAACCCCCCACTCCACTACCCCTCCACTCCGCTACCCCCCCACTCCACTACCCCCCCACTCCACTACCCCCCCACTCCATTACCCCCCCACTGCACTACCCCCCACTCCACTACCACCCCACTCCACTATCCCCCCACTCCGTTACTCCCCCACTCCACTACCCCCCCACTTTACTACCCCCCACTCCACTACCCCCCCACTCCACTACCCCCCCACTCCACTACCCCCCCACTCCACTACCCCCCTTTCTCCACTACCTCCCCACTCCACTACCCCCCCACTCCACTACCCCCCACTCCACTACCCCCCAACTCCACTACCCCCCCACTCCACTACCCCCCCACTCCACTACCCCCCACTCCACTACCCCTCCACTCCACTACCCCCAAACTCCACTCCCCCCCCACTCCACTACCCCCCCACTCCATTACCCCCCCACTCCACTGTTCCTTGCATGCGCATGCATAGTGTGGTGTGTGCGAGCATGGTGTGATGTGGGAAGCAGTAGTGTTTTGCTCTTATGGCATGCCATGCATGGTGCATCACACCATGCCATGCATTCACACCATGCCATGCATCACACCATGCCATGCATCACGCCATGCCATGCATCACACCATGCCGTGCGTCACACCATGCCATGCATCACACCATGCCATGCATTCACACCATGCCATGCATCACACCATGCCATGCATCACACCATGCCGTGCGTCACACCATGCCATGCATTCACACCATTCCATGCATTCATACCATGCGATGCGTCACACCATGCCATGCGTCACACCATGCCATGCATTCACTCCCTGCCATGCATCACACCATGCCATGGATCACACCATGCCATGCATCACACCGTGCCATGCATCACACCATGCCATGCATCACACTGTGGCATGCATCACTCCATGCTATGCATCACACCGTGCCATGCATGCACACCAATCTCTCATGTCTCTCATAACTCCCAGCCTTCTCATCCCACGCCTGCCCTTAACCCCACATGCAGAAAGCAGCGGAGAAGCGGCGGCAGCGGTGTGTGTCGATATTTGAGGAGTATTTAGCGTCAGACGATATCCTCATGCGTTCAGCCATGACTGCGCTCAAATCACATGCCGGGGGGATCTTCCCACTGTAATCCATTTCATTCAATTTATATGCTTCGCTGGGTTCTTAAAAGCCTCACAGTGTAAACAAGCACCCCTTCAAGAAGATGAGGTCACAGGGACCAACAAGGAACCACGGTGGGCTGGGAAGATTAGAGCTTCCTTTTAAGGAACTGAACTTCGAGGATCTTCCTTCCACGTCCCCCACACTAATGCAACCATATACTAGCACAGGATGAACATACTTCAGCAGCACTGCATCAATTACACATGCATCACAACATTTCACTATATGTACAAGTGCAAGTGCAGAATTAGTATGCCTTCAAAGGCATGCAGGGTCATGTGCAGGGCCCTATATATCAGCCTTTTTACAGTGATTCAGCATAAAATCAGGCTTTATTTTAGACCCTTGGCTGAATCCAAAGTTTTTTATTATGGACTTCGGCTGATTTTTCAACTATTTTATTTGTACCTTGTCTGTTTTTTCAGACATTTTTGGTGAGTGTACGCTGATCCTGTAGTTCTACTAACGGAACCCTTGCTAAATCCTCGAAATGTGTCCGTTACCTCGGCCTATCGCCCCCCACCTCACTGTTGGAAACATATAGTTCGCGCTTCTGATGTGTCGAACACTACAACGTAAGCGAAGCGAACTACAACGAAGTAACAGCGAGTCAACCAAAGCGGTTGACAACAGCAAGAGGTTAAGTGAAGGTCAAAGGTCAGCGACCTTTGACTCGCCGAAAAGCAGTGCGACAGCAAGGACACATAACTGATTTGCTACTGAGCAGTTACCCGAGTCGTCGCTGTATCGAACCGCAACAGCAGTTACAGTTAAACCTTTCATATTCCTTGTAACCATATTAAGCCTTGTATCTCTTTACTATAATAAACTTATCTTGTTCTCACATACCAGTGCAAGGTGGTTCAATTGGTTTACTATTACGCTTCCGCGAATACATCACCACTCTGAGACTTTAGTCTTGAAAACGATCCCAAGGGCTTTCTCAGCCCAACACTCACCCCCCTGGCCCACCCGATTCTCTCGCGCCGCCCCCCAACCACCTCAGTTCCTCGCCCCAACTGGTCGCACATTTCCCCTCCCCAGCCCACCTTTTTCTCAGCCCAGCCCACCTCGTTTCTTCCCCCAGCCCGCTTCTCCCAGCCTACCCGCTTCTCCCGCCCCTCCCCTCCCCCCCACGCCCACCTGCCTCTCCCCCCCCTCCCCGCAGCTCACCTGGTCCTTTCACACCCACTTCCTTCTCTCGCGCCCTGTTTACCAGATCTTGCTACTCCTTGCAAGATGAGCCATATAGTAACACAAGTGTATACTTCATCTTGACAAGAAAAAAATAACACAATAAAAACAGCCTTTTTTTTTGCACCAACATTAAAATTTCATCGTTTTTTTGCTAGGTAACGCTAATCAGCAGCCTTTATTTTAGGACCAAATGTCAGAAATAGAACGTAGGAATGATTGACTAAGGGGCAAGCATGATTGACTAGGATGCAACCCTAAAGTGTTGTACTCCTTGGAGTATGCCCCACTACAGCCTAGAGATAATAAATGCAATTTGACACACCCCCATAGGCAAAGTGGGGGATAGCAAACACAGCGGACGGTCACAGGACTAGTCAAGCAAGAGAACAAAGCAAAGCAAAGCTCAGGGTGGATCTCAAGATCACCACGCAGTCTGAGCACAAGCAAGCGGCCACAAGGCCAGTTCACATGCAAAGTTATAAAAGCACAAGCAGTACAGTGATCACAACTTAGCAAGAGCAAGCATGCAGGCATATACATATATTTATATCACTGTACAAGACAAAGTCAAGCAACCAGCAGGTGAGGCAGAGTAGGCACAAGGCCTAGAGTGTCAACGGGAGTTGTGTGTTGGCCCCGTCCTCCCTTTGGCGGAGCCAACTTCGTGGTTGGGTGCGCGGGAGGTGCAGCCGACATGCAGCAGTGGGCGACGCCGACTTGGGCAAGCTGGTCGACAGGCCTGGTCGACCTGCACGGGGCCACTACAAGGCCGCCGACTTTGGGTAGCCGGCGACCGACTTCAACCTGGTGGTCGATGAGGGTAGACGTCGACTAGGGAGGGGCGCTGGCTTTGGAGGGCGCCGAGTTCGGGTGGTCGACTTGGCGAGGTCGACCTCGGTGACGCCGACCTGGGGAGGACGACTTGGAGGAGTCGGCGAAAAGCTGCTGTGGTCGATGAGGTTGTCGTCGACCTGTTGAATGACTGACTTGGTGAAATTGGCGGGTGGTCGTCGACTTGGGTGGTCGACGAGCACGTACAATTTTTCGTTTACTTTTCCCAAGGAAGTCGACGTCGACCTGGTGGTATCCGGGTCGACCAAGATACCCGGGCAACGGGGATCTGCAGGGCACGCGATCATTGCCCAGGTGGTTCTGGCAAGGCCGACCTCGGTGTGATATCCCAAGGTTGACGTGGAGGGTCGGGTGCAGACGTGGGCCGTGGTCGGCGTGGCGTCTGCGCGGTGCAGATGACGAGGCACAGCGCGCCAACCAGCTGCGAGCACTTGCGAAGCAAGTGCGCTGCTAGTGCGGGTACAACGCTGTGTGACCGACCTACTGCAGTGTCGGCATATCGTCGACTTGCAGTGTTGGCAGACCGCAACATTGCACTGCTGGAGCGCGGTCGACCTTGTCGTGCTGGAACGCGGTCGACCATGCTGGGCAGGCAGTCGACCGGCTTGCATGCTAGCATCTGATGTAGTCATTGTTGCCTTGCCATTGTGAACCCTTGTTGTCAATCTTTGCTAGTGAAACTCTTGCAAAATCTCCCCGTGAACGTGCAAGCAGAGAACACACAAGCAAACGACTAAGGAACGAACACAGAGATCACTCCTACCCCGTGACTAGCCTGTAGACCAGCTCCTGTTGCTAGGGTTATCTCCGCATAGAGCAATGCAGAAACGCTGATGATCACTAGGCAGAAGGGCCTTGGTGAAGACATCAGCAGTGGAGGCCCGAGAGGCCACGTAAGCAAGGTGCAGCTGACCACGCTGCTGCAGTTCCCGAGCAAGAAAGTAACGAAGAGCAATGTGCTTCGTTATGTGCTCCAGTCTCTGCTCCTAACATAAGGCAATCATGGCCTTGTTGTCGACGTACAGAACTAGAGGAGAACGAGGCCACTCACCCAAGCCAGTCAGCAAATAGCTTAGCCAGCGTATAGCTTAGCCAGCGTAACTCCTGTGTAGCCATGGCCCCAGCGTAGATCTAGGCCTCACAGTTGGAACCAAGCATAGAAGACAAACGAGTGGACCTCCACGAGACAGAAACAGAGCCAAGACTGAAAGAGTAACCCTGTGACGACCGCTGAGTCGCCTGGTCGTCGGCCCAAGAAGCGTCGGAGTGTCCTGTGAGTACCACTGAAGCCCGTCCTCCAAGCACGAGCCCCATGCTCGATTTACTGCACAAGTAACGCAGTACCCTCTGCGCAGCTATCCAGTGCTCCTTCCTATGTCGCCCGGGCGCGACGAAGCGAGCAAGGATGCTGAGAGGGTACGCGAGGTCAGGTCGTGTGCAAGTCATCAGGTACATGAGGCAGCCCACAAGCTCTGGATACGGGCCACTCGGCTCTACGGACTCGTCCGAAGGTGCAGCTGAGAGCGAGTGGCCTGTAGGCAGAGGAGTGTGCTGTGGCGAGGAGAACTGAAAGCCGAAGCGCTGAAGGACCTGGTGCACCATGTGTGACTTAGTCAAAGTGATGGTGTGCCGTGCTCTGTCCGGGGTGATCTGCAAGCCAAGATAGCTACACAACTCACCCAGGTCAGTGCAAGTGTGTCTCTTCTATAGCTCCGCCTTCACAAGAGTCAGCGCCTCAGTGTCGGCAGTAGCAAAGACGAAGTCGTCGACGCATACGAGGATGTAGAACGGCGGCAGAGTAGGGTCGGTGCGCAGAAATAGCGACGGGTCAGCAGTCGAAGGAGCCGCAAGCGTCGTCCTCAGTGTGTCGTGCCACTCGCGGGGTGCCTGGCGGAGACTGTAGACCGGCCGCCGGAGGCTCCACTGGGTACCCTCAGAAAACAACTCAGTGAAGCCAGGTGGGCGGCGCAGCCAGATCTCTTCGTAAAGGCTACCCTGCAAGAAAGTTGTGGAGAAGTCGAGGGAGTACAGCTCGTAGTCCCGCTGTGCGGCAAAGTGTAGTAACACCAAAATAGTGGTCATCTTCGGGGTGGGGGAGAAGGTATGGAAGAAGTCGACCCCCTGTCGCCGACTGAAACCTCGAGCAACGTAATGCACCTTGAAGGCAGGCGGAGAACCCGGCGGCGGATTCACTCTGAAATCCACATGCCATCGACTATGTTCGCCCCAGGAGGGGGAACCTCGTCGACGTAGGTGCCTGTGGATTTCCAGGAAGTCATCTCTGTGTCCATGGCTGCCTGCCAATGAGAGGAGTACTCACCCGTGACCACCTCTGCGTAAGAGTGCGGGGTGGGGATGTCTAGTGTATCCGGGTCTCCCTCAGGGCAAAGCAGCATGGACGCAAAACGGGGTAAAACGGTTTCAAGACACTCAAGCTCAAACTGAATGTCCTCAAGGACGTCACTGTTAAGGGCAAGCTCACCCCTGACGGACGGAGGACAGACAGACTTAGACTCAGTAACAAGACTCGCAACGTAGTCGAGACGACGGGTAGCAGCAAATTCGTCTAGCTCACTGACTAGGGCAGACGCAGCAGTAGACTCAAAGGAAGGGTCAGTGACGATAGTGGCAAGGAGACGAGTGACAGTAGGACTAGCAGTACGAGCAAGGTCGGACTCAGGGTCACGAATGCCAGGAAGAGAGGACGCCGGAGGAGGTAGGGCAACACATTGTGGAACAGAGGAAGGACGAAGTGCCATCGTGTACGTGCCGGGGACAGGTGGAGGACGAGGACGACGAGCACGATTGACAGTGCGAACAGGGGAGGTAGGACGAGACTCAGGCTCACGACGCTCTGCCAGGGAGCTTGTCTGTGCAGGGTTAGGAGATTGAGCAGGAAGAGGGGAGCCAGGCAAT